TACCTTAAACCGCATAAACACATTTCATTACACCAAATACACAAAATAATGTTCTTTTTAGCAACATCATATGACCTTCTTTATAAGAACCGGCTCAAAAGAATCATTTGTTCATGAATGGCTGTTTGTTTTTGATTCTCTAAAAAGCCCCGGTTCAGAAGAGTCATTTGTTCAGGAATCTGATTACACCTGTGGTGCTGGATGTTTTGATTCACTAAAAGAACCGACTGATAAGAGTCATGACGAATCAGACTACAGTTATCACGCTGTATTGTTTGGATTCGCTAAAAGGAATCGGTTTATAGAGTAATTTGTTTGTGAATTAGATTACACTTGTGTTGTTGTTTGTTAGGGTTAGGGTTTTTGTTTTTGTCCATGAGGAAAACCCAACGAGCCATTCAGAAGCGGTGCAGGAAATACAGAATCACATGTAGTAAACAAGTTATTTTAACAAATAAAATGGAGTGATAATTGCTGAAGTAAACATGAGTGTTGTTTGTTTATTTCAGGTCATTGTCAGGGAGTTGCTATGTTGTTGCGATGGCTCTGTGTGTTTTAAGTGCATTGCTATGCATAGTAGTGCTTTTTAGTACAAAGCTCTGCGGTTGCTAGGGTACTCTAGGTAGTTTTAGGGCGTTGCTATGTATTATCATCATCGTAGAAGATCAAACACATATACATGCGTGTAGCCTGAAGTGAGATCTCACACGATGCCTTTGAGAAGCTCTTGAAGCTAAAAACACGCCTGGCATCTCCATCGACAAAAACACCTACACTAAACTCACATGGGTCTCCTCTACTTAGAGTCTCAGAAGAGATCTGTCTCAAGGTGCTCAGATATGCAGAGATCTCAATATGAGCTCTTTTCCCACACTTTTCCCATCAAATGATCTCACGTTCATTTTAGAGCTTTATGCTCTTACTAGACTCACTTATGTTTTTATTTCTCCAAAGGAAGAGAGGAGAAAGTCTCCTAAAGACCAGCATCTGACCCTCTCATGCATCACGAGGTCATTTTCTCCATAAAACAGCAACAAACAGGTGTTTTTCGTTGGGTAAGAGGGCATTTAGGGCTTCTGTAATTAGTGTATACTAGTACTAGTAACTGGAGTCTTGTCGGATGAACAAGCCCTGTGATTTATGGGAGGCGTAAAGGCATATTTTATAAACATTGACACACAGACCAGCTGCTGCTCCTCTCTACGCCAGGCCTGCGCCATCATTCCCTTCACCTTCTCATCCAGCGTGACCCGTCTGTCAGCAAAAGCATCACCACAAAAATGATGAACAGTCATGTAGGCGAGGGCAGTATGATATTTGCATCACTGTGCCCGATCGAAAACCCTGAAAGATAAGATCTCACAGCCTTGCTTTCACATTTACAAATGCAATTACGTTGAGCACAGGATCTTGTCGGATAAATTACCCAGCACACACACATATGAATGACTTGCTCTGTCGTTCCACTGCAGCCGATGAAGACGTGTGTTTGGGGCGGTAATAATTCTTACTTTAGCTATGTACTCAAACTCACTGTCAACACATGCCTCAGCCCACCATGTGTTCAACAACATCAGTCGTGCAACAAACACACGTCATGTGTGACCTGCTTATCACATGTGACGAGTTGCAGGCTCAAGGTTAGAATAATGTGAAGAGCAGA